TTTATTTTTGCAGAGACTTAAAGCCAGGTAAAATATCTTCTTAAATAATACTTCATTTATCTATTAGATTTTGATAAAAAACTGTTACCTAATTGTTGTCTGAGAAAACAGCTAATACATTACTGAACTTATACCTGTGTTAGGCCTTAGTTATAATTTATCAGAAAAGGAAATTTCAGAGAAGCGCAATGCAGTTTTTTGTAGTTTAACTTTTGCTAATGGAACAAAGTAAATCATTAACACAGAGTGAAAGACACTCCTGCACCCCCAAAGGGCTTCCTTCCCCAGCTGCTGCTTAGGCTACTGACCTTGCCCCTGGGCACAGACCATGGACCATCACAGCAATTTCACAGCTACAGTGGGGTACAGTCTCAGTCCTTTAGAGAAAACTGCCTGTGGCATGGTCCCATGTGAGCAGGGGGAGGTGACAGCATAGGGGGTGGCAGGACAGTGTCAGTAAAGCCCCACTAGGAAGTTCTGTGTCAGACAATAGGGTTATGCCAGTTCCCCAAATTTAACTAAATTCAATCCAGCAGAATAAACAGCTCTCTCAAGAGCAGACTGCAGTTACTAATCTTCTCCCCTTCTATAATTTCTCTATACTGTTTGCACATCTCAGTAATTATGTATTAACTTACCACTGCAAACGGAAGTAAGTAAGAAAATGAAATAAAAAGTCCGATAAATCCAATTCATCCTAAAAACCACAAAATCATTTTTAGGATATGTTCAATAAAGAGTGTGAAATTAGTTTTATAAACCACTGCTAAACCTAACACTGATTCACACTTGTACTGTTTCGCCATTAATTCAAAATTACGTCAAAAATTACAATTTCAGCTGTGACATGCTGTTTTGGCATACCTTTTAATCACGGAATATTCACTCTTGCTTAGACTGGGAACAATATTCCACTGAAATGACATTACTAATACTGACTCTCCAGATAGTTTAGCAAAAAATGTTATGAAGGTAGCAAACTAACAACTCACACTCACTGCTTCATATGCTATAAGAATTCTAAACTTTATTTCACATGCAATAACTTAACCTGTGAAATAAGTTAACCACAAAACACAAGCCATAAAAACTCCAACTTGCACTGTCTTGTTGCTATGAAAATCTTTCACTGAATACCAGTGCATTATTTCAATAATGATTACATACCTGAACACATAATAAGTCTGGGTGCATGGATCAGGTTTGCACTCTACAAAAAAAAAAAAAAAAAAAAAAAAAAAAAAAAAAGTCAAAAAGTCAACACTTTGTGTTAAATATTACTACCTGCAATGCTAACTCATCTTTAATGTTTACTTTGAATGGGTACTCTTTTTGTCAATACTGTTACTGACCTTGGGACACGTTTTCAGAACGTCTATCATCCACACCGCACTGGAATTGATCCTGTATATCCACACATATGCAACACAGTCTCTCTTTTCTCCCCTATAAAATGATGATAATATTTTAAACACCTGGAAAAATTTTTACCTCTATATCAAATTACAGAATTTTCATTGTCCCTGGATGCAATCACAAAATCTACTTGTATCTGAATATTTACAAAGTAAGCTGAACTTACCATTTCTTGTGTTGCTCAACATATATTAGTATTCAAATAAAAAAATTACTTTGCCTGTGTGTCTGTCTGCATTTCAGTTGGTGGCACAAATGGGTTAGAACTTCTGTCCAAGAACTTAGTTTCTTTACTTTTCATTTCTTGTCTGGGCTTTCCTATTCAGATATGGGGCACTTATTCCACTTTGTTACTGTTTTAATAAAAACACAAGCAAAAAACAAGAAAACAAAAAACAACAAAAACAAAAAACCAAAACCAAAATAAAAAAGAATACAAACAAAAAACCCAACAAAAACCCAAGGAAAAAAAACCAACCAACCAACCAACCAAACAAACAAACAAACAAAAACAAAAAAACTCCAATTGTATACTTTTTGGAAAAATAAGGTATACCTTTCAAAAAAGCAGAAAACCAGAGCAGATTGACCATAAATTTTACCCAGAACATGCATGTCATTTATGCAACATGTAGTCAGATCCACATTCATCAGAAATTTCTGTAAGATTTCATTTTTATAATCCATTGTCTATATTTTAGAATTTTGTCTGAGGAAGGGGCATTTTCTGGATATGGCTGTTTGTTTTAGAAGTAAACTAATGAGTAATAAAAAAAAGAAAAAAATTATTTCCTTAATTCAGCAGTTCTCAAATTTAGGTATCAGTCTTTCTAAAACCAAACATCATTTTAATTACATCTGTATGGGCATCAGTTGGATTTGATGGTGAAGCTCAGAAATAAAAGAGAAATGCTATTCAAAGAGAATCACAATGAGCATGATCACTTTGGAAAATAAATGCATTTTTTTCACTGGGCTTGCTACTCACATGACATGCTCTCATTTGCATTGCTGTGCTGCTGCTCAAACCAACAAAGTTATACTTCTGTACAGAGAAAAATGTATTATAGACTCTATGATGATGATGAGTTATTGTTTATTATAGAATATGTTTATTATAGGAAAAATTATAAAATATGCTGTGACAAATTCTCAGCTGGTATATGTTTCCTGAGCCTTTCTGAAATCCAGAGATTATATGATTTAAACTAGAAGAGTTAGAAATTTAAAGTGCATAGAATGCCAAAACCATCTAATACTCCTTAGACTCATAAAGGCTCGACATATAAGTTTACTGTTGGTTTTAATTCCCTCATTGTATCAATTCAGCTTTCCATATTCTAAATATTATCTAAATCAGGATGTTGCATTTAGGGTTCAGTAATTCAGATAGCAGAAATAAAAGAAGAGCTCATCAAAATATTTTTATAAATGGAAACATTTTTAATGATTGACGTTCAAAATTTATTTGACTAATCTAAAATACAATTAAAAGTTTGCTTCTGTTTGACTCTGCTTCATCTTGACTTGGTAGTTAAAAAACCAAAACCTGCTTCAGCCTAAGCCAGTTCTTTAAGATGACATCTCCCTGGCAGTACACTTGCTTGATACTGCTTTCTGCTGATTTCCACTGTGGTCCATGCACAAATCTCATTCCTGCAAAGGTGGCAGGAATTACTGGACTGTTTGACCTCAGGCAATAAATGACTGGATTCCAGTCTGATTTAGGTCTAATTTTGCCTGGCAGAACCAAATCCCTCATTTCTTTTGGCAGTCCTATTCAAAAAACAGCTTCAACACGGAAGAGGATCTTTCTGTGATGAGACAACACCTGCTGGTTGTGATGTGAAGCAAGAGGAGAAGTTTCTCAGAGGAAATGAGGGAATGAAGGCACCAGTATGGTAGGAACAACACACATTTTCATTTTGATTTGGTTTTATGCACACCCTATTCCATTTGAATGAGGATACTGTAAGAATTTAATGAACCTCAATGCTCCAGGAGGAAAAAAACCAACCAACCAAAAAGTATTCTGAAGAACTTCATGGCTATCATAAGTATATGACAAAGGAGATAGAGAAATAAAATATCAAATGCTGCTAAAACAAACTATAAATCTAAATCTTGATCTTTTCTTCTTACAATCAACAATCTAGGGCCTAATCATCTGAGTCAGGATACCATTATCTGAGTGAAGAACCTACTGTCTCACTAGGGCAGAATCTTCTGTTTGACTTGATACCACCTAAAATGGCTGCAAAAAGATAGAATAATTTAGTGATTTGTGAATGATGCAGCATCAGTATTGTATCAAATTAAAAGCAGTTTAGTAGTTACATATCCTGGAATTACTCAACAGGAAATAGAGCCCAGGAAAAAAACTGCAAATCAGATATCAAATAATAAATCAATGCAAAGTAAATTCAGGATCATATTAAAGAAGTCAGTTCCAAATATTAAACAATAGCTACTGGGTTTGTCATTTCAGATGTACTCTTTGATTTTTTTCTTATAATCAGATTTGCCATTTTTTTAATAAAAGGAGAATCACATTACTGCCCAAGGCCTTACTTTTTGGACCTAAAGCACCTGATGCTGGTTACTATTAGATATTAGAGAAGACAGAAGTTTCAACATACACTGAAGGGTCCCAGTATCTTGATCAAGGCCTGTAAACTGCCAAACAGTAATTCTTGGGCAAGTTATATGCTGTATGTCAATTAGTAGCCTGGAATTAGGTCATTTGGGCAAACAAAAAATGCTGAGCCTTTTACTAACTGATAACTTTCACCTTTCTTTGATTAAAGTATTTTGCAATTTCAATGAACACTTAATATCTCCACAAGTTATACTCCAGGCATCAAATAGAAAAGTCCATTTGTTGAATAAAAGATAGAGTTATACTTAGCAGAGTATAAATAAGAGACTCATTTTCAGAAGAATCTCAGATGTGTGTAGCTTTTTGTTTAGAAAGTGAGTTAATTTAGTTTTTAATCTTTTAATCCATGCAGACCATGAAGGTCATCTTCTAAATTTGACCTGGCTATAAACTGAGGTACTTCTATACTGGCAGTTTTGTCAGGGCATGTCACAATATTCTTTTAGGAAGAAAACAGATAGCAATCTCCAAAGGCTCTGACTCTTTTAGCTGCTGGAGGAGGAGATGACAGGTGTACTAACATTTATATATGAGGTTTTGTCTTTTACAGCATGAGGATTAAATTCAGGAAGGCAGGTGGATATCTAGTATGTACCACTATTCCACCTCCTGCACGTGACCAAAACATGCAGCTTTCAGAGGCCAAAAAGCACTTTGTGTAAAGGTGACTGGTACCTGCAGGTGCTCTCAAGCAGAACCTCCTAACAGAGAGAGGTCACACATTGTTTGCTGTCAGTGTTCCTCGCAATAGCTGTAAACCATGATCCAGAAACACTCACACACTCCATTTCTGTTGTCCCAGTAGAAAGCCATGTCCTTTCTGACACCACGCAAAAGAGACAGCATAATCTTTTGGTTTAGAGATCAGCTGCTACCTTAATACCACAGCAGATACCTAGAACTCTGAAAAAAGATCACAAACAACTACTATGCACATGCAGTTTTTATTACACAATACTTTATTGTCTCATTATTTTATCAGGAAACCTGGCAATGCCGTGCTGTGTTCCACAATCCTACAGGGAAAAAACATCCCCACACACAATAAAACGCCTAAACAAACTAACTAACCTCCCTCAAAACTAACAAACACACCCCCCATGTTGCACATGGTGGTGGATGCAACCTTCCCCAAGAACATCTTGCACCAATGGGTAGGAGCCACAAGAGCACCAGTGCACACACACATGCAGCAGCTCGGTGGTGAAGACATGAGTCAGGCATGGAGTCCCAATGTGATCCACTTCAGGTGATGCTGAAGACTCCAGAGACCAAAGGCAAAGGAGGATCTGGAGTAAAAATACAGGAAAAGAGGGGGTGGAGAAGAGCATCAGGGCCAATAGGATGAGGGTACAGGGGCAGTACAAAGGACAGAAACCAACAAGGGTGGATGGGAGGGGTTACACAAACCAATGGGGTAACAGGGAAGGGAGAATTTACTAGAACTTGAACATATAAGGATAACAAGGGCAGAGAAGGTCAATGGGCCAATGGGAAGGACAAAATCGGTATAAATTAGCATAGTGCTGCAGAGCACCATGGTGGAACCTTCTTTCCTCACTCTGAGCTGTGAAGGGTGCCTGGAGCCATCTCTCCAGGGCATCACCATTGCCCTCTCCCCAGTAGGTTCACATGCCTCCACACCCCCACATCCAGAGGATTGTTGACCAGTACCAACAACTACACACCACATGATTTAACCTAATGAAAGCACACTAGACAATGCGAGGTATTTCACATCTACCCAGCAGGCACAAAATTGGCTGTATGTTCAGTACTGTTTTCCTCAATATTTATTTTCTTTGCAGTGTCAAATTGCTTCAGAACCAATTTTCACAACAGAAGATAACAGATTCACTGCCATTTGAGAACCATTCAGAACAAAAAGATTATAGGATTACATCAGTGCTCAGTTGGCAAAACACTTCATGCATCACTAAATAGGGATTTTTCACACTGGTGCCCTCATGCCAGTGTTTAAGCCTATGCACTTTTCATAAGAGTTTCTTTTTATAGTTTTATCCAGTTTTTATCTCAATTATTTTTTTGTCCATTTTGGAGAGTATAAGCAAATTATAGGAGATATACACACATTATATGAGAAGAGCATAGTATAAAAGCAAAGTGCAAGAAAAAATATTGGACAGTGTAGATAGAAGTCATAAGAATTATGGGGAAAAAATTTGCTATAATTTGGTCTATCTTACAAATTGTTTACACAAAACAGATCCCACAGAAGAAAAGGAAGGAATGTTAGTTTTCATTTGTTTTGAAAGTCCTCAACTTAAGCACATAGCTAAGACATGAGGCACCTCTCCAGTTTTCAACTACATACCAAATCTCCTGAGAAAACATATTCTGGATGCTATTCTTATTTACCTTGAAAATTCACACTGCCAAGTACCCCAAACCATGAAATAATTTACAGTCTCTCCTTAATTTAGAGTCTCTTTCGCAAACATATGTCATGTGTATTACATGCATTAACATTTGGAGGTGGTCTTGAAAATTATCTCATTATAAAGAAGACAATATTTAGATTCAGCCCTGGAAACTGAAATTTTTGTTATTATACAGCAATGAAACCAATATTTGAAAAAGAAGGCTGAAGAATGCAAGTATTACTATTTTTAAAGTCTCTTTTGTCTTTTGACTATATATTGTTAAAAGGAAACATAGAAAAAGACAAGAGAAAAAAATCTGTAAATGTCAACAAAATGAGTAAGAAGAGATTACTCCTTTCTTACTTTATAATACATTAATCATTAGAATGGACCAGTCCATATTAGTTTTATCAGTTCTGACCTCCAGTTTCTTATCCAATCCCCCCTCTGCAGGTTGTCCACAGCCCAAGAACAACCTAAAGGCAACAACACACTTAAAGCCCTCACCACCAAGTGGCAAAAACAACCAAAGACACGAGTGGGGTTATTGGTGGGCACCCCTCTTCATACGGCACCAGGTATTGTGCTGAAGCAACACACACCAGTCAAAAGAAGTCCCAAAGCATAGGGCACAAGTAAACCAGGCCAGCTAGAGGACCTCAGCTTTGTTTAGCACCAGCTTTTTCTTCAGAGCTTGCAAAAATTGTGGAGTCTGTTCTCCAGCTATATGACCTGTAGCAGATTTTGACCTGTCATGAAGGCACAATCAGAAACTTTCACAGGAACTTCATTCCATCACTGTAATTCCTCTTCAACATCAATTAGCAAAAATCTCTGTATGTTGTCTTCAGGGCATTAGAAAGCAAGAGCACACTGGCTCATTGTTTCAGCTTTGACCAGCACAGTAAAATCTAGTTAATTGATCACCCTAGAGAAACTGATGCTAAGAAACATTCATCAGCAATTTACCTGCACTCAGGCATACAATTTCAACAGGTACAATTTCAGTCCACACTAAGGCATAGTAAGAGTTTATTCTCAGTTTGTAATAATACATTGCTTTTGTCATTATGAAATCCTGTATGTAATTTGCATACTGTCTAGTTCCTGCTGTGGTTATACAGATCAGTGCTTTTGGTATAGTTTGCTAAAAAATGATTCAGAGCACTCCCTTCTTACAAACTACTTTAAATGCTTACTTACCTAGAAGGAGTGAAATTATCAGAGATTTTTGCTTGGTCTTTACAGAGGCAGTCATCACCAAAAAAAAAAAAATTGTGCCAAGAATATTATCACTTGTATTTTTCAGAACCAAAGAAACCTGAAAACCTTACAAACACTTGAGACTTCCAGTTACTTGGAAAATCCTATGGCATGTAAACTCATCACTTCATCGCAGGCATTGCTGTTCTTATTACCACAGCTAAAGTTTTTGTGGCACTGTGGCAATAGAATAGTTTCATCTGAGCAGATAAGGCACCAAAATTTAAGGATTAAATACTTGTATCTCAAAGATTAACATGAAGTTCACAAGTACCATAAAAGTAGAGCAACTAGGGCTATTACAACATCTTTTTTAATAAAACAATAGCAACTAGTTTTAATAAATTGCTGGACTGACATCAAAATATTTGATTTTAAAATATGTTTCAGCCTAACAGATTGAAAACTTTTGGAAGTAAACTCTTGAAATTCCTTTCATTCTGATCCAGCATTTGGTCTCCTCTTCAATTTAATCCAGATGCCTTTATTTGGACGAAGAATCAATTCTCCACATAAACCAAGCTCTTCTGGCTTTTGACATGATTCCACCCAAAAGCGCCGCAGGATGAGGGCTAGAAGAGTTTTCTCCTCCATTTGTGCAAAGCGCTGACCTATGAGTTACAGGGCAGAAAAAAAATAGTTATTGTCAGGTTGTATCAACAGCTGCTGCACTGGCATGCTCACAGGACTTAAGAACAGAACTAGCTTTAGGCCAAAATCAAGGTCATATGGATACAACTAACACTAGCATTTTTCTCTGCATGAAAGCTCTGGCCTTCTTGGGATAATCCACAGCACGTCCTCCTTCCCATAGTACACAGAACTCAAACAGCAACAAAGAAACAGCCCTTTATATGGAACAGCTACAAAACAGCCTTGTCACGTCTCTTGAAAGGACTAGGCAGGGGGGATGGATAGCAGACCAGAGCAGAAGATGCAGCACAGGGACTTTGAGGAGAGAAAAATCTCATGGTTCCATATTTGTGTAGAGGAGCAAAGGAGATGCAACTGCAACAGAATGACAGACAGACCTTCCTTCAGTGATCATTAAGCCTCATACACACTGATGATTTGGTAGCACAGAGGGCAAAGTTCAATTTGCAATTCAGAGATAGGTGAAGGAGGAAACATGAGAACAGAGAAATGTGGGGGAAACCAGACCAAGTGCCACAATCCAGGCAGAGAGACGGGAGACAAATGGAGACAGGACACAAAATGCAGTGCTGAGAAATTTTTATGTTCTCCCATCTGTATTTTATAGACAGATTATATACACAGAAGTCTGTACATATGTACAAAAAATGCACTACTGCAATGATACAAATGAACTACCTCTCCTGCACATGTTCCTGCACACTCAGGAACTAGCTAGACATGTTATATTAAATTAGATTTCTCTTTGGAACAAGGAAAAACCTAGCTTTCTGCTCTTATAGAAAAGGGCACCTACTACCCATGAGACAAATCAAAACAAACCGATCACATCCCCCAAAAACAGAAACCAAACCAAACAAACAAAACCAAAAAAACCCAAAAGCAGTCATATTTCCCATTATCGTAATGGCATGACAACTTTTAGATGTTCCCCATCTGTACTTAAAATCAGTGCAGGGAACAGTCTTTTCACATGTTCTACAATATAAACAACACTTTCTCTACCTGAAGCACAGATAAAGGTCATGTGTCTCAGTGGCATATGAAAGTGCTAACAAGTTCTGGGATAACACAGAAAACACCAAACCAACTACAGTGTCAGAAATAGGGAAAGAATACATCAGTTGCAGATTGAATGCTCTGGACATCCAGCTCAGAATCTGAGAGAGACAGACGAGCTGTTTCCAGAGCAAAACAGGTGCAGGACATGTGTCTTCGCTCATGCTGTGTTGCTGACACTGAGGATGAGAAATTAGGAAACAATCATGTCCTAACACAGGAGCCCAATATCATGCTGCCAGGTTCCACAGCAGTGAGGAAGAAACATCAGCATGATAGACACTGGTGCCTAGGAAGAAAGGAAATCCCTCGGAAGAAACAAATGGGGTGGCTCAACAGTATTAATACGAGTCTATGAATTAAACTCTTCTGAGAGAATTCAGGCCCATCTAATGGAAGTGTGTAGCTTGCAGGGCACACAGTGCCCAGATTCAGGAGTGGGGAGTGAGGAAGAACACTATATAAACAGTACTTGTTGCTGCCTCAGTTACCACATTCAAAAGTAGAACTGTTACCTTACAAGGGCTTCCTCTCCAGATACATACCAATGCAGTTCCTGGGACCAGCTGAGAAGGGCACATAAGCGTATGGGTGCCTTCCCTTAGAATTTTCAGGAAAGAATCGCTCAGGCCTGAACTCCTCCGGGTCAGGGAAGACCTCAGGGTCTCTATGCAGGGCATAAATTAAAATGAGGACATTTGCACCTCTTGGTACCCGATATCCCTCTAAAGAAAGGAGAGAAAGGGAGAAGAGTCAAAACAACAGCAAACAAGTGACTTCCTATACACAAGATAAATAAAACAATAAAAAATAAAATAAAATAAATAAAAAATAAAACAATGCTGCCCTTTTCTTGGGAAATATCTCCACTGCAGAAATGCTAACACAAGGGAAAGTGGCAAACACAGAACACCACTTACTAATGCAGCAATCCTCTCTCAAGGTACGGGCAAACATGGGAACTGAAGGGTAGAGACGAAGAGCTTCTTTCACAACACATTCAAGGTATCGAAGATTCTTCAAATCATCCACTGTAACAGGACGTTCAGCATCATCTGTCCAAAAACAAATAGAGGGATGACCATGACCAAAACTTTTCATCTTTGACTAAACAAACTCGTCCTGGATCCCCCCAGAAACTCTCATCATGCACCAAGACTACATACAAGAAGGTGTTACAAATACATTAAACATGCATATCTTGCCCCAAAGACATAGGGCTGGTTGTACACCCCAACAGACCTTCCCACACCTATCCCAACCACCTCTAGCTGCTGAAAGCTCCAGAATGCATGCTCTTAAATCCCCTTCTACTTCTAGGCTTTTAACACATTTCCACTCTCAAATGCAGCAAAACCCCAATGAAGAGGGAATGAAGACTTACCAAACACCTCATCCAATTCCCTGTGAACCTTCTTCTGAGCTTCTGGATTACGTCCAAGCAAGTACAAGACCCAGTTTATAGCAGCTGCTGTTGTATCATGGCCCTACAAGTCCAGATTTACAAAGACATTCACTTCCACTCTACTTCCATGTACCACTGGGCTTTGTAAATACTTAGGTGTGCAGTTATTATGAAAAGTGAGACTTATTACTCCCATGACCATGATAAAACAAGAATCAAGAGTGAATTATTCAACAAGCTAACTATCAAGATAAAAGGTGATCCAGGGTTGTTCTGACAAAAGGAGAAAGTATTGAAATAACCCAAGCAAAATCCCTCTCTTCTGATTCTTAGGAGCTGCATGAACAATCAGTGTCTACACAATTAATCAGATGTATATTCATCTTTTTGGTTACTGTCCAGTCAACATCTGGGGGGGAACAATGACTGTCACAGGAGAGATACAATGGACACAACTTGTAACCTTTTGAAAAGTATCTAAAAATGGTCTTTTATAAGGCACAGGAGAAAATAATTTGTTTTCTTTGAGAAGGGAATCACCTACTAGTTCCCAGCACTGTGGTAAGGAGAGGAAAGGAAAGGAGAGACAAAAGGTGAACCAAAGAAGGGGGGAAAAAAAAATAAAAAGGAGGAACAGAAAAGGGAAAATTTGACGAAAAAAGGATTTTGATACTAAAAAAGCATACTTGTGGTGAAGTTCAAAATGCTGCCGTACTACAGAAATAGCAAGATGAGAAGAGAGTTTCTCTAGGTTATAACGGTATTAATATGATTCTATGAATTAAGCTCTTCTGAGAGAATCCAGGTTCATCTAATGGAAGTGTGTAGAAAACTTGCTAAAATCTTCTTCAGATCCTCCCTTAGGGAATCAGACAAGAAGAAGAATCATCTGAAGATGGCAGATGGGATGAGCCTATGAAGACAGACTGAGAGAGTTGAGGTTCTTCAGCCTGGAGAAGAGAATGCTCTGGGAAGACCTGATTGTGGCCTTTCAGTAGTTAGAGAGGACTTATTAAAAAAAGAAAAAAAAAAGAGTGTGACTTTTTACATGACCAGGTAGTTATAGGACAAGAGGGAAAGATTTTCAACTAAAAGAGAAAAAATTTAGATTAGATGTTAGGAATAAATTTTTTATTTGGAGATTAGTGAAGAACATGTCTAGAAAAGTTTTGAATGTCCTGTCTCTCAAGGTGTCCAGGGCCAGGTGGGATGGGGCTCTGGCAACCTAATTGAGTTGATGACATCCCTGCCTATGGCAGGAGGGTTGTAACTAGATTATCTTTAAGATCCCTTCCAACCAAAGCCATTCTATAACAAGTTTCTACGAGAAGATGAAGCACTGATGCACAATGGACAACAGAACCAGAAGACTGCAGACAATGTAGCAAGGAAAAAAATACAAGGAGACGTAACAAAATGCAAGTCAAAACAATGTAACTATTTAGAGCTCTTTTCAGTGTTTATGAAGTTTGCAACAAAAGGCAAAAGCCCATGGTCCATATCAGCCATTAAGTTTTCATTTCTCAACTGCTGACATGAGTAGACTCTGCTCACACAGGCAGGGTCTACCACATATGCATTGTCCAAAGTTTTTCCAGGGCATATTAATGCTTCTATCCTACCTCTGTAGAATAGAAACATTGATATTTTCTCTTAGGTTTCCAAGGCTTAAATAACATCATGCTAAAAGCAACCTCCTAAAC